ATTCAATTTCAATATCTCGACAGACTTTTATTGGAATTCCCTTCCTTAAACAGGTCAATAAAACACTCTAAAAACATCGATAGGGACTCCAGTTGGAACTCCATCTGGAACCCGTTCCACCCAATTTTTTAATTGTTCCGGCAAACAATTAATAGAGCTTTGATTGATGACCAGTGACCCGTGATGCTAGGTCGGTGATTGGTAGCCAACGAACCATGACACGAGCACAGACACCTTAAATAGACCTAAGTCGCACGATACGCGTCAATATCAGTCCGCTATTTGATCTCTGACGAAGCTAGCCGCGCTGTTGGAGAAACGTCGGGACAATTTCCTCCAAAGACACGGCTTAGCCCTTCAAACACGACGTCCGTACCGTAAACCAATCCGCAAATCTCAGTTGTCGACACTTAACCTTCTGTCTTCACGTTCACGATTGAAATTTTATCAAATTTTACCAAAATCATAAAGTAGATATCTAACTAATTTTTAAAGATTTTTTCCCTGATCTAGGTTCTTCAGAAACCTTTAAAATTTAAGAAATCAGCTTTCTCTCAAACACAGAACAATTAGTACCAACGACCAGTATGCTTGAAGCGATTAAAATTAATTTTCAACAATCATATATTTTATTTTTGTCCTTTGTTGGGATCATAGATAACCTGGTAGCCATCAATACAATTTCCAAGACCTTTTTTTGGCTATTTGAATTTACCACGATCACAAGATCGATAGATGCCAGCGATTAAATATTTATGTTGTTTCTCCTGAAGGCTGTAAAAGTTTGGAAGGGAATGTTAATTTGACAATTTCTTTCACGTGAAGTGCCATTTCCACCTAAAAAGAAACGAATCATAAACTCTGGGTCGCTGTTATATTTGTAGTGGAGAAGGTAGAGCGGAGTGGTTGTTAGATACGAGTAGTTTCCACGAAAGAGCATTAGTGGCGTTATTAGCGCTAGTTAGTGGATACGCTTTGATGAAAGATGAGAGCGGTGTATAATCATCCGGGCCTTCCCCTTCTGTCTATCCCGACGAGGACAACATGTTTATGTGGCGCCGACTGAAGAAAACCACGACTCCGCCATCCACAACACCAGATAACCAGACGCTGACTATACCGAGTACCAACACATGGCTCGAGTGAATGGTAATTTATTACATCTACAAATGAATAATCCAAATTTCCCGGTAAAAGTCTACGGTTTATTTAAAAAAGAAAAGGGAAAAGTAAAACAGATATTCCAACCAAAATATCGTTGCTTTCTATAGCGAGCCATCTTCCAGACAGTCGATGCATTCCATTTCGATGGAAAAGAATTACGCGACTTTGGACACGATTGTTTCAAAGGAACAAGGCCTAACTAAAACTCATTACGTCTTTTTAGAATTTGTAAATAATTATTTAAGATCCACTATAAGCATCCAAGGGGTTAACAACCTTGCCATATTGGCTATAGAATAACTGACAAAGAGTTTGCTAACTGAAAAGCAAGAAAAATAACTTTGTAAAATTATAGCTTCTTTTTTTACTTCGGAAGTAAACATGGTCAATTTTTTAATATTCATGTCTGGGAAAGAATTTCTGCTTTCACGAATTTTTATACGATAATTTCTATAATATATTACAAGAGGATTATAATATAAATAATAATATTGTAAAGAAAAAAACGGAAAAGAGAATTAAATGCAAGAATTGGTGTGAAAAGAGGTTATCGTGGAATTGCATATTTCATATGATAAATCGCCTTTATAACACGATTTTGTAATCGGTACAAATTATTAAATCCACTTGTCTGCATTGCACGTATTCGCGATACTATCATATAATTCTGTGAATAATAATGAAGGGAAGTAACACTTGAATTTCCATGAAACAATTGATATGCATTTCGATGCAATATGAACCTATCTATGCCCCACGAACATATACCAACACCATTACTGCCTCGATCTATTTCAACCGAATTTATTAATCGTTACAATATGCATTCGACCCTGTACATTATGTATTTAAAACGTATCTGGACCGGTAAAGACGAGCAACGCGGAACCATTGCGCGACAGAAGTTGATTATAATGCTTCTTTTTATTTCTCTAAAGCCGAAACTTTGCTTTAAAAATCTCTAATGTCTATCGTTTGATAGGAAAATTACTTTTTTGATACATTTGTCCCCTATCAGCCATATTGGTTTTGTAAATTACATTTCATAGTCGATCAAATAACTTGGGTTTTACAACACTGGTCGATTTTTCTACAATCTCGAGTGAAACTCTATCACTAAATAGTCAAACTACACATTTTTTTCGAAAATTATTATTTAAATTTGAAAAAATATAAAGCAGAAATTAGTTTCATGACTTTTGAATTTTCTTGTTTGTAATTTTTGTTGGAAGATATTGGGAATGGTTTGGATCGACAGGAAACACACCCATAAATTTTCTAAAGCCTAATAACCATGGTACCTGCTTAAAGTTGACCGTTGTATGGGTCTGTATATCGAGGAAACGTAACCCTAATCTGTGCATCATAAAGAACTATTTCGAAGCCTAATCATAAGATATTTCATTCTTTAATGTTAGATATTGTTTCGTAAGGTATGTATTTACAATGTACCCAATTTATGTAGACCTACAAAATACAATTGATATTTTTTTGATACAATAATTCGTTGGGTGATTCATTATTCTCAAACTGTGACCATGTTTAGCAAATGAGTGTTAATGCGTTTATAAGTTCACAGCTATAATACTGATTCCACTAAACGACTGAAACAAATTTTCTTACGTATTACACATTTATTATAGAATAGTGAAATATTTTTTAAATATCTTAGCATAAAATATGGGGCATAAAAGAATGAAATATCTCGCAATTAGACTTTGAAACAACATTGTTCTTTATGGTTACAAATCAAGGCCACCTCGTAATACAAACACGCAGAACAATCTACTTTGGGCAGGTATCGCGGCCGTTATAAAGTGAATTTATGGATGTGTTTTCCATCGTTCCAAACCTTTTCCAATAACTTGCAATAAAATGCAAAAGATTCCGTTACAGTCGCCAAATATGTCTTTTATTCACCTAGATTAACTACTCTTACTTTACGTTATAAAACTAATCTGCATTATAGACTTTAGGCACTTCTTAATATCGTATATTATACAAGTTACAATTTTAAAAAGAAATAGCGGCATCTTCAGATCTGTTCTTTGTAGAAATATTAACTACATTGAAAGAATAAAATAAATAGATTTAATATATTTTACGATTTACTACGAAGAGATAGCAAGTAAAGCTTGTGACTCCTAATTATCTGTTAGTTCTCATAGTTCTTACTTAAAACTTCCGTAACGCGTTAAATGTTCGGTGTTTCCTGCGTCTAAAGTTTAACTAATTACAATCTCTGGGTATTGTATTTTGGAAAGTTTCCAGATCTGTTTAAACTTTGATTATCAAAAGGACAATCATAACGTTGAATTAACAACTACGTGTATCCCTGGTAAAACACGATAGTTTGCTGCCTAACAAATTCCCTGTTACACAAGTTCGCATTGCACGAAACACAGCTACTAATGTTTTATTTTGTAATGTTACCTAATTATTGCCCATTAATATTTATATCAACTTTGTTAAATGATGTAAATCTACTTTAAATCAACACGTTTTTCTAAACAAAGGCTGTATTCTAGCATTAAAAAGAAATATAGATCGTGGAAGTATGAAAAAGTAACATGCTTTAGCTATTTTTTCAACTCTTACAATAAAATCGAACTTTTCTCGAAAACCAAAAGTGCCAGTCCAATTTTAAAACCGGATTTGAATTCAGCGTATCAAAATCTGTAGGAAACGATATGCAACAAGACATAAAAAAAAAAATCAAATCTCATGCGATGAAAAATAATTTAAAATTTTACTAAAAAATCTTCAAGTTTGGCTCACGTTTTCTACGTGTGAAGGGACGCCTACCAAATTCTGTATAATTTCCCCCTATTTTACGTCTCAAATTTAATGTAAAAAAAAAATCAACATTCTATTCGTCCCTATCAAAAGTTCTACGACTTTGACATAATGTTGGTCGGTCTTCCCCGCTGTGGGGCACCTCGCATAGGTCGACACGTCGTTGGTCGGGTCGCTTGTGCCCGGTAAAAGTGTACATATAGCGCGTACCGACACGACCACCGTGTCTCGAACACCACCGTTGCCGCCGCCGACACGACCGCGACACCTTCGCCTCTTTCGTTCGGATTGGTTAGTCGCGCCGCTCTTCGTATTCGTCGTTCGCGCCGTCGTTGTTGCGCTTCCCCTCTCCGCGGCGGGGAAATTACGATTCCTTGATCAGCGATGGCTACAAGTCGAATCTTAATCCATCGCAATCGTTTTCAAAATTATTTTATTCATCGACGAAAATCAAGTTTACCTAATAGAGAAGACCATTCCTATATAATATCATAGATATTACGCCATTCGAGCTACTCACAAGGGGTCATCCCGCTAGTGTGTGGTTAAGAATTTTATTGCAAGAGTAGAAATCCCTTTCTGTGACCTGTAATAGTGATCCCTCTCTAATGGTCGCTGACTCGGGTCCACGACGCGACAGTTATCGAAGAAAGTACTGTTATCTCGGTTAGATTCGATCGCATTGCACGCGAAAATTAGAAACATTACGAGTATAGTAACCACATTCACCAGATATCGCATTTTGAATTGCTTTGCACCAGTTTCGAAGATTGTGAGTGGGGATGGCTCAGCGAAGAGTATCGAGGGGGAAGGTAGCAAGCATGAAACGAGGGACTGGCGAAATGTCGGTGGTTCTAGCGTTGAGAGAGTGTCGTCTCCATCGCTAGTGTTGAAAGTATAATGGTGGGGGGGGGGAGTACATATATAGGTTGTAGCGACGAAGCGTGAAGGGGTAAGCTTCCTCAGCGTACGTGGCGCTGTGCGGCGAGGCGAGGCGGGGTGAGTCAGCTGAACGCTCGTCGATGGACAAGTGGGGTACGGGGAAGCTCGGTCGAGGGAACAGTACGCGAACCTACTCAGTAGCGATTCGAAGTCGGTCGCGTGAAGTAAATGTTGTTTGTTATGTAATGCGTACCGTGTATCCCAATTTCTTCATTTTTCTCTGTATCCTGGTGTGTTGTGTTCCTTGCAAACCGGATGAGAATTGTGTGTCGAAGGAGTACGCTTTCAGGAGCTGCCAAATGGCTCCGTTGACGTGCGCTTTCATTGTTCCTTCACTACGGATATAAGGAAGTGTACGGGAAAAAAAGTGTTTGCACGGTTCGTCTCGGGGGTTTTGTTTTGTCAGTCCTCGGTGGACTGTCGCCAAGTGATCATAGTGTTGTACGTTCGAAGCAGAGCCGTGCGAAGAAAGGGGGCGAACATCTTTCTAAGATGCTGACTTCCAGCGCGAATCAGTACCTCCGACCGGAATACCTCACGCCTCTGCCTACTACGGTTAGTGTTACCTTTCCGTTCCCATCGTCTCTTCTTCTCCTCCATCGCCTACAACAACCACGACCAAAATATAAACATTCCCGACACGCTGATAACATTTATCGTGCTCCGGGCGATTACGCTCGAGTTACAAAATTTTAGCGTTCGTTGCATTCCTACGTAATACAGGGTGACCAGTTCGAAGTTTCGCACGCAATTGTCTTGTAAACTCGGTCCAAGAAACTTACTTTAATTTTTTTAGAGACTTTCTTCGGGACGAGCTATAGTTTTGGAGATTATTGCGTAGGATACCTCGAATAGATCAACCTGTACATTTTTTTGAGTACAGAACTGTGGAAATAAATCATTCATTCCGTATTCGCGAAAGGAGTAAATACACCGTGGAGGTATCCGTTAGGAGCATAATTAATGAAACATCGGTGAAACGGTGTCAATGCAATAACAGCGCTATCGGATCGTTAACTCGGCATGAAATAAATATCTGCCGCGAAGGACAATCGTTTCGACGGTTCATTAATTGTGGCTGTCGGCGTTTCGTTAACCTCGACGAGAATGCATTTCTCGTCTTACCCTTTAACTCCTGTAAACTATTTTGAGGACAACGAGCGCTGGCAACGTTTCTGCTCAGACGTTCGCTGATTTACGAGCGTGTAAATCAAAATGCGATTTGGTAACAATGCTGTGCGGGGATAGGCATTGGAGAAGTCAGCGTTGCAAAAATGAACGAAAGTCGATCCGTTTTCTCTCTTTTTTTTAATTTTATTTTTACTTTCTTGCTACGCTACGAACATGTTTATTTCTTAAACTGAATAGATTCTTAGTTTACTAGGGCAGTATATTATAAATATTATGCATAACATTTATGGTATTCCAAGTATTTTGCATATAATAAAGGAATTGTATTATTTTTTGTTAGAAAAGTTTTTTAGTACGTTACGTAGTTTTGCATTTATTACAATGTAAACAAATTTCAATGTCCCACATCTTAATCACAACATTCGTAACTTATTCGATATGAATTTTATTTGAACGGTATATAAAAAACAATATTAGAAAATTTTGAGAATATAGTAATATTATCTAACAGAATGTTTAGAAATATGCAAGAATTTATATGAGTGAAGTTAGCTATTAGGCAGACAAAAATGTAGAGATTTAAATTGTTACATAAAAAGCAATTTTAATAATAATGTTGAGCTTTCTAAGTTTGTAAGTTATGCTCGACATTTCATAACCAATTTCTGTATTTTTCATTATGTTCTCGTGAAAGTATTACGCATGAGTTGGCAATGTTTTCCCGTTGAAAACGAGACCACACACGAGCTCGTTCGGAGCATTTCAACAACCGCATGTGTGCGGCGTAAGACAGAGGTTGATAAAATTCTTACCTGAATAAAAAATAAGTGGCGAACAATGTTTTACAATTAAAATTAAAATTTGAAACACAAAATTATTATTGAACGAGCACAACGATTCGATTTAGTGGTTTTCTGAAAAATATTTATTACGTATATTTTAAATCGTTGAAAATTCATTTATTTATATAAATTCATTGAATCTGTTACTTAATAATTACACAATTACAATTTCCAAGAATTCGCAGTACGTAGTCAACGTAATTTAGTTGATAAAGAAATGATTTTAATTAAATATTTCACGAGAAGGAGGTGGTTCTACATGAAAAAAACAAATCGAAAATAGAGAATAAAATTTTTCCATTTGAGAATTCGTTAAAAAGTTCATTGTGTGTCTCCAATACAGTACTGCGATTGTAGCATAAGTAGAAACAGTGGGCAGTGAACAGACATACCACAGTAACTCGTATCAAATCGCACGCATAATCGACGAGTTTTCAAATTCAATTATCTCAAAAACGAAGTCTCAAATTAAACAATTCTATCCTTGATTTTCGATTTATTTCCGTACCCCCTTCTTGGTTGTATTATCGATTGTGGGGCACCTTATATAGATTCTCGAGAACCTCGGTTATCAAACAAGCGTATGAATATGTTTATACCTTCGATTATTGAGATTCCTTTACATATAAAATTAATTCGATCGAAGTTTATTTGTCTGAAAGATTAATAATTTTTACTATTTTTTCTCGTTGAAGATTTGCATGAACTTCTTGAAATAACACTTGCATAGAAGGAGTATTTTCGGGTTGATATTTGTACCAAAGATGGACCAATGCACGGCGGCTCAGATTTTGTTAGACGATGATTAAAACTGTCCATAAGTTTCGTTAACTTTTTGCGGGTGCAATTAACATACAGGTTTAACCGTAATGCCGTAATAGCCTGTTGCAGTTCACAGCATTAATAACTGTCGGCATCGCGCCATTAGCAGAAGCAACCGTAAATGGCGGGTTAGTTGCATGAACGTTGCATTTTAATTACAGTGAACATCTGTTCGATGGACGTATCAGCCGCGAGAAATATCGTTCCTGTATACGCTAATTATACCAACTGCATCATCTCGGCTACCTCGAAGCGAACACTCGCCCGGCGCCAATATTAAATTCTCGCAAACATCCTACTAATCGCGTCTGCGTTGAAAACTTGCGTAATTAGCAATACATTCGTCTAATAAACATTATTCATTATTTTTTTTGTTCATCAATTTAATAAAAGCGATAATGAACACGTCGAAAATTTGCGAAGCCATCAAGCTAAATAAATATTCTCAAAGTTAGATGTAAAAAATTAATATTTTGTTTTTGGTTAACTGTTAGTGATTATTGGTTAAATTTTCAATGACTCAGAGGGTCCGTCTTAATTTTAACAGAAAAATGTCATCAATCATCTATAACTAATAAAAGTAGATGCTTGGAGTTCATTGTAATTTAAATTATGATCATGATCAGTGGAAAATAAAATTCCCATTATCATGTATTCCATAACTCACATTTGTACATATTTTAAATGCATAAACGTGTGCGGTCTAATAACCACCATTTAACCTTTATAAGATGGGATAATATTCCAAATCTATTTTTATTCTAAATGTTACTAAATATACATGCAAGTAAATTTTATAAAAAAGCAACTCAATTACATGATACTGAAGTATAAATTTATTGTTTAAGAAAAGATATGTATTAAGTGACCCGATGAAATAAGAGAAGACACGAATTTATGTCTACTTCTGCACAGTAGGTTAACGTTATAGATCTTGTGACAATATTATGAATCTAATAAAACATTTAAAAGGTCGAAAGTGTGAAGTTAGCGATAGGGATAACATCGTACCGCGGTTGATGGCCCGGAGACAACGGTACCCCAGTTAATAAAAATAGGTTTATGATCAACAGGTTATCTAGCAACGAATCCTTTCCTTACGCACTAATTTTGTTTCCAGCTGGACGCAAAGAAGAGCCCCCTTGCCCTCCTGGCCCAGACTTGCAGTCAAATAGGAGCAGACACGCCGTCCAACAAATCTCTCTTAGGCTCCTTGGAGAAACAGTCGAGCGGGAAATCGTCAAAGACCGCGGAGCAATCGCGCGAAAAATCGTCGCCGATCGCGCCAACGTCCACGGAGTCCGCCAAGGCTAACTTTAAGCCGTACGAGTCGTGTTTGGGTCGCGAGAAAGCGGCGAGCCCGGACGAGCAGCGTTCAGCCTCTAGTCACTCGACGTCTGGCAGATCGAGGACACCCGGTAGCGGCAACAAACGATGCCCGAGTAACCAAAGCGCCTCGTCGATCCAAGCAGCGACGCCGCAGGGTCAAAAGACAGCGACGCCCAACTGCGACGTCGCCCGAGAGTCCCCTCCGTCCAGGTCCTCGGTGGCAAACATGTCGTCGGGTCAACTCGAATCGAATTCGTCGCAACCGTCCGTTGTTAGCCCCGTCGGGGTACTAGCTATGACGGATCCATCGATCAAGGATCTTCCGCTGGGTACCTTCAAGCCTGGAGTCAGTTTAGCGTCCTCAACCTACCTAAGTTACAATCCTCAGTTGCCCATCGACGTGATGGCGAGTTCGTTAGTGTCTCAGCACCACGCCGCGTTGAAGAGCGGCCTGGTGGCCGGGAATCCCTATCTGAGCTACGCGAGATTGAAAAATTCCGCTGGCCCGGACACTTTGATGCCCGTGTGCAGGGACCCGTACTGCACCGGGTGCCAACTCAACTCCCATTTGCTGGTGAGTTCCGCAAACGCGGCGGTCGCAAACGGGAAGCTGGCCTCCAACACGGCTGGCTCTTGCCCCGCGGGCTGTGCTCAGTGCGATCACAAGTCTAGTACGCCGTACGGGGCGCTAGGTGTCGCCGCCTACGCCCACGCACAGTTGGCTGCCCTGGCGGCGGCCTCGCAACTCCCCTATGTTTGCAACTGGATCGCCGGGGACACCGCTTACTGCGGCAAAAGGTTCTCCACGTCGGACGAGCTGCTCCAGCATCTCAGGAGCCACACGAGCGGAGCCACAGACACCTCGACGACGTTGTCCCTCCTGTCGCCCTCTGTCGGACTCCCACCAACCCATCCCTTGTTCTCCAGAACTTATCCTACGCCGCCACTGAGTCCCCTGGCTACCGCGCGCTACCACCCGTACGGTAAACCGTCGCCATTGTTACCACATTCTCTGTCGTCGCTGGGTTTACCCCTTCCACCGCCGCATCCTCACTCACCCGCCAGTTTGCCACCGTATTTCTCCCCGTACTCGCTGTACGGGGTCCCCCGTCTCGGCGCTGCGTCCGGAATGCCCCAATGAGCACTCGAACCTCGCTGATTAGACGCGTAAAGAAAAATATCAACCGTTTAACTGTGATCCATGTATGAATTATGAGGGTGTGTTTGATACAATAAATTTCGACGGCTGTTCCTCCGAATGGGTCAGAGGGCAGGGGGGACGGATGGCGAATATTAAATTTTAGCTTCGGGGATTTCATAGTTAGGTTTGGCTACGTCTTTCGTTAGAATACATATTCGGGTTGGATTAAAATTTTATGTAAAATGGGCGAACTTATTTTCCATAGGACAGCTTATAGACATTGCTTGCCAGTGCACGCGTAACTGTCGCACTTTTTGCACGTACAACTGTCATCCTCCGATTCCTAGAATTGTTTCGAGTCGGGAAGTCCCCGCGTTGTCGCAAATGAACTACATACTCATATTTCATTGAAGTAAAAATAATAAAATTTGTATACTTCTCAATTTTATAAACCAGCTTTAACCCCCGAATGACGGATGCTTACACTTATTACTTACAGTTCTTGAGCGAGGAACTCGAAATGGTCGCGTATGCGCCGTACGAGGGTTGAATCGCAATTTCCGCAAAAATATACGCGTTCTATGGCATAATTCCTCCCTGTTATGGTTCTTCGTGAGTTTTTGTTTCTCGATAGGACGATTATTTTCGATTAAAAATTATTTCCCGACCCATGAACCGGAAACATTCGGCTTCTGGCTCGCCGCGTCCAACGTGCCACTTAATATTGAAAAATAAAACTAACGAGTGCCACGGGTAACGTTGAAAAACCAATGTTCAACTGTGATTTCCGAGTGAGAAAAATACTAACGCGCGTGAGTGAAATCTATTGCGCTTCCGCTATAGAGAATTATTGTATGTATATACGTGTATGGGTGATTTTAGAATTTATCGATACATACGCGATCACGGAGTTTTATTCGACACAACGAATAACGGACGGCTATTTTTAACGTAGACGAGTCCGCACAGAATCTTCACAGCGACGAAATAAAATTATTGTCACGTCCTTTATCACGATATTATTATTTTTTAGTGCATCGATCGAAGCATAAAACACACGTACACTTTAGCCATATTGCGTAGAATTTTATTATTAATATTGACCACGATTTATGGTTCACGCTTTGCGCACATTTCAAATTTACCGCCATAATTATACCAACCTTGGATACGCCATGTTTATTCCTCTTCACAGTTAAAACTATTCGAATTGTTGCTCACTCTTAGTCGACAAGAATACAAATATTACAAACTTTCCCATTGTCTTGAAAACAGAAAATTTGATATAAAATAACCCACATTGTTCTGGTTTTTTTTTTTGTAATGCAATAACGACAAATAAACAATTCTAAGTTAAGGAATTATAATTACTTATTCGTGCTTCTTATTGAAATGCCCGTGATGACCTAAATTATGCTACAATTCGAGATTTATAATAGTTAACATCTTGAAAACTAAAAGTATTATTCTATATTTTTTCGTATAGCATTATATTTATTTCAAAGAGCGTAAGGCCGAAATATGAAAGTATACGACGTTAAATATGGCTAAACTGAACATATGCTTCCGGCGACATACGCACGATCTAAATTATTTAACGTAAGAAATAATCGATTAGAAAGCACGGCGTTTGTTTAAGAACAGTACATAAATTTTACAATAATCTTAATGCATTTGCCATTGAGGTTAACTTTGCATTTTGCCACTTAAAATATTATACTTCGTGAACTCGTTATTTCTATTTAGAACAGAAGTAGCTTATACAACTCGATTATTGAAAAGAAACTTCGTTTACCAGTGCTTGTTAGAACATTTGTTATACCCGGTGTTCAGAGAAAAAAAAACTCTTAATTGGATACCGGATATTGCTTTGTACCTTTCTTTTCTCTTATCGATCATAATAATAGTCTTACAAGTATAAATGCTAATGCGTTATGAATGTTTCAGTTGAGTGGTGTCAATTATTGGCAAGCAACGTGACGGCAAATATGTTAAAAGAAAAATCGCGAAGGTTATTGGGCGGTTCGGATCGGTTATCGAAATTTTACGAGCCGCAATTCCACACAGTTTCCGTTCGAAGTTCGTCGTACAAATAAACGAAACGCAAAACGTAAATTTTGATCGACTATGAAATCGTGAGCGTATTTCCTCCGTTATTGCGAACATTCGAATTAATATACCGTAATCTGTCTATTCGTAGTATTTATAAATTACTATCTCTATCGGTAACTTTTACTGTAATTATTGTACATTTGTTCATAGATATGTAGAGATAAGTCTAAAGGAAATAATTTTTCGACGAGGCGGCGGATCTTAGTGATAATAGACGCGTGTACATAAGTTAAAGAAATTCCTGACTCGGCGGCGAATATTGTATTTATATTTTTGCGTAACCAAAGTTTTAGCAATCGACCCATAATTTCGTAGAGAATTCCTGTATAACAATGTTATCTACCGAAGAGAAACAAAAAGTATTGCAAGATATTCAGTTGTAAATAGATTTATTTTATTGTATATGAGATTTATATGTATATAAATATGTATACGTGTACAATTATTATTACGATCGAGGACACTTTTAATGTCTGAACACCTTTGATTCATGGAAAAAAAAATTCTCATTATTTGTTAGAGGTTTTACAGTTAATCCCTATTTCGATCTTTTTATTTTTGTTTACTAGCCGTTTATTCTGTTATTATTGATGTTTCTATTAAAATAAAATGCAGTAGAATCTGGATAGTCACAGAAAGTCGGGACTTAAAATTGTTCCAAGTACCGATTCATGCAACTATCGGGGTAATCGATTCGGTAAAGGAGTTTATACAAGATAGCGATCTTAGAACAGACAACTTAAACTTATTTACTTTTGGCGACAGACTAAAATGCTTCGAACAAACCTTGTTCGTTTTCAAGGGGCACATAATCAGAGATCAAGAGTTTTTTTTTTAGGTGAGGATGTTAAATGGGTCAGTGTTTATCTCTGCTTGTCTTTTGCGTGTGATATAATCGGCCAATAATGATCGAGGCTTCTGGTTGCAAGCCGTATCCTCAAAGGAAATTCTTTCGACGTTTTGTCAGCATTGCAGTCAACTTCATCCGGAGATTAAATGACACACTAACGTCGATATCGTGTGGGTTAGGTCCATGTAAGATCTCTGTGTTTATCGTGTCACAGGTCACCGATCACCAATTAGAACTGTTTTTTAAATATATTTAATACGTTTTAAAATTTGAGAGGAACGAGTTCCAGAAGGGATTTAAACTGTAACCCTTGTTCTCATGGATGTTATTGGGGTGTTTAATTAAAGATTCCCTGAATTTTCTGGTGAAATATCCGTTGAGTTTTGGCTATTACTTCTTTCCGGACAAATAGTATTCCGTGACTAATAGTAATTTAATGTTCTACGGATTCTACGTAGCTCAATCTAACGAATCTTTCGTGATCTTTTAATCGAGTACTCCAAGCTTCTCCCAGTTTCACCGATTTAAACTTTCCCACACGAACAGGGTATTATCTACGATCGAATTTTAATCATCGAACGTCGATTTACAGTCTTACTTTATCAGTCTTTGAAGCAAAAAGAACTGATTTTGAAACTCTTTCTTCGTCGCCACTTTCTTTGGTTTGCAATTTTCACTGTTCCTTTCTTCATATAGCTTAATAATATTTCTACTAACGTAACGATTAACGTTATATAGAGTTTTGCAATGTATGCCTTGCATTTTTCATCATGGAAAAGTTTAACGCCATTTACGAAACAAATTTCCGTGGTCGTTTCCTTAAAATCCTTACGATTGACGACGATGATAATAAGAATGAAAATGTACTTACTTTAAATATTTTAACTTGCGTCGCATACTATTTTTACGTGCCCGCCAAAGCTGTTTTTGGATTCCCCGACACCGCGCATACGCCAGAATCTCACACACAAGAACTCGGTGATTAATGTGTAAATGCGAGTGTGCGTGACTCCTCGAACGTGGGGTTGCAGTCTGGCATACCTGCTGCAATTCAACATGGCCGCGTTATTGACGCCATTTTCAACGAACATGCGCGAGACAGATCAGCTGTCTATAGTATACAGTAACTGAAACTTGTGATTCCCATATACGTTTTAAGTTTATTAGTAAAACATTGTATATCAGCTCGTGAAATTTTGATAGGCAAAGCATGTATGCCCTCGAAGATGGTAAGAATTAATAATATTCGTATTTATAAAGAAAAGTTTAGAGTAATAATGGTAGAATATAACCTTAACCTTCGAAAAAGTTTATAAATGATTATTTTTTATAAAGATCAATACGACGACGAGGATGCGGAAGAGATTTCGTCAAAACTTTGGCAGGAAGCCTGTTGGATCGTCATTAACGCTTATTTTGATGAGAAAGGTCTTGTACGACAACAGCTTGACAGTTTTGATGAGTTCATTGAAATGTCTGTACAGAGAATCGTAGAAGATTCGCCGCAAATTGATCTACAAGCAGAGGCACAACATACTTCAGGAGAAATAGAAAATCCTGTTAGGCATTTGTTGAAATTTGAACAGATCTATCTGTCGAAGCCTACTCATTGGGAAAAGGATGGAGCTCCGTCTCCTATGATGCCAAATGAAGCTAGGCTCAGAAATTTGACATATTCTGCACCATTATACGTAGATATAACTAAAACAATTGTAAAAGATGGGGAAGATCCTATCGAAACTCAACATCAAAAAACGTTTATAGGAAAAATTCCAATTATGTTAAGATCAAAATACTGTTTACTTGCTGGTTTATCCGATCGTGATTTGACAGAATTAAACGAATGTCCATTAGATCCAGGTGGTTATTTTATTATTAATGGATCAGAAAAAGTACTAATCGCACAAGAAAAAATGGCCACAAATACAGTGTACGTTTTCAGCATGAAAGATGGAAAATATGCATATAAGTCTGAAATTAGATCTTGTTTGGAACATAGTTCACGCCCTACATCCACATTATGGATCAATATGATGGCAAAGAGTGGAGCTAGTATTAAAAAGTCTGCCATAGGACAACGTATTATCGCTATTATTCCATACATTAAACAAGAAATTCCTATTATGATCGTTTTTCGGGCGCTCGGATTTGTAGCCGATCGCGATATTTTAGAACACATTATATACGATTTCGACGATCCCGAAATGATGGAAATGGTAAAACCTTCTTTGGACGAAGCTTTTGTCATACAAGAGCAGAATGTTGCATTAAATTTTATTGGTACTAGAGGTGCCAGACCTGGAGTAACTAAAGAGAAACGTATTAAATATGCTAGGGAAATTTTACAAAAAGAAATGCTTCCGCACGTAGGCATAAGTGATTTTTGTGAAACTAAGAAAGCCTACTTCCTGGGTTACATGGTGCATAGATTATTATCGGCGTCTCTCGGTAGGAGAGAGTTAGACGATCGCGATCACTACGGTAATAAAAGACTAGATTTGGCCGGGCCGTTATTGGCATTTTTATTCAGAGGACTATTTAAGAACCTGATGAAAGAAGTGCGATTGTACGCACAGAAATTCATAGACAGAGGAAAAGACTTCAATCTGGAACTTGCCATCAAAACAAAAATTATTACCGATGGCTTACGGTATTCGCTTGCTACCGGAAATTGGGGAGATCAGAAGAAGGCTCATCAGGCCAGAGCCGGCGTGTCTCAAGTATTAAATAGATTAACGTTTGCATCGACGCTTTCGCATTTGAGAAGAGTAAATTCTCCGATCGGAAGGGACGGAAAACTAGCGAAACCGCGTCAGTTGCATAACACATTATGGGGTATGTTGTGTCCCGCGGAAACACCGGAAGGTGCCGCCGTAGGGTTGGTCAAAAATCTAGCGTTAATGGCTTATATTAGCGTTGGATCTCAACCTTCTCCTATTCTTGAGTTCTTGGAGGAGTGGTCGATGGAAAATTTAGAGGAAATCGCGCCCAGTGCCATAGCCGACGCGACAAAGATATTTGTAAACGGCTGCTGGGTTGGTATCCACAGAGATCCGGATCAGTTAATGGCTACCTTGCGCAAACTGAGGCGTCAAATGGACATTATTGTGTCAGAAGTATCTATGATCAGAGATATCAGAGATCGAGAAATCAGAATATACACGGATGCCGGAAGAATCAGTAGGCCTTTGTTAATCGTTGAAGGACAGAATTTGCTGTTGAAAAAGAGACATATTGATATGTTGAAGGAAAGAGATTACAATAACGATGGCTGGCAGGAATTGGTCGGAAGCGGAGTAGTCGAATACATAGATACTTTAGAAGAAGAAACTGTGATGATTGCTATGTCGCCTGAAGATCTCAGGCAGGAGAAAGAATATGCTTACTGTACAACGTATACACACTGCGAAATTCATCCAGCAATGATTTTGGGAGTCTGTGCCTCGATCATTCCCTTTCCTGATCATAATCAGAGCCCCAGAAACACTTATCAAAGCGCTATGGGTAAACAAGCTATGGGGGTGTACATCACAAATTTTCATGTACGGATGGACACTTTGGCTCACGTACTATACTATCCCCACAAACCTTTAGTCACAACAAGGTCTATGGAGTATCTTAGATTTCGTGAATTACCAGCTGGAATCAATAGTATAGTTGCTATTTTATGTTACACCGGTTACAATCAAGAGGACAGTGTTATCTTGAACGCTAGTGCTGTCGAGAGAGGTTTCTTTAGATCCGTGTTCTATAGATCCTACAAAGATTCTGAATCAAAAAGAATCGGTGATCAAGAAGAACAGTTCGAGAAGCCTACGCGGCAAACTTGCCAAGGGATGCGGAATGCTATCTATGACAAATTGGACGATGATGGAATTATTGCTCCGGGAATTCGTGTATCTGGAGACGACGTTGTTATAGGAAAAACTATTACTCTGCCAGAGACAGATGACGAAGTATGTATTACATTATATTAACTCTTTGGGGCACGCTGGGATTAAAAGAGTCCCACCTTTTTGATGCACCGTAATGCATGGTGGGACATTTTTAGTATAGGTTTATATTTCGTCTTATTTACGTAAAGCAGTTGGTAATATCTTCAACAAATGTTACAAATGTATTCATTTGTGTTGGCAACATTCAACATGCCAATACAGGTTCATCAATTGTTGCAAGCAGAAGGTTTATTGCGACAAATTTAATTAAACTATTACTATTCTTTTATGGTTTTACATTATGTGATACCTTTATTAATAAAAATATATCAATTTTGTTTAATTTAAAACGCAATAAAATTTCTATGCAACATGGGTCTATTTTATTATCTGAAATCCTGTGCCGCAAAGAGTTAAGTGAATTTATGGAACAAAGTATTCTATTTTTGTTTGTTAATGTTTACAGTTGGATAGTACAACAAAGCGTTTCACGAAGAGGGACGCGTCCACCTTCTTACGTAACAGCGAAACTGGTATAGTGGATCAAGTAATGTTGACTCTGAATAGCGAAGGATACAAGTTTTGCAAAATAAGGGTACGGAGTGTACGCATTCCGCAAATTGGCGACAAGTTCGCTTCGCGGCACGGACAGAAAGGCACTTGTGGAATTCAGTACAGGCAGGAAGATATGCCATTTTCGTGCGAGGGTCTCACGCCGGACATAATAATTAACCCCCACGCTATCCCGTCGCGTATGACCATTGGCCATTTAATCGAGTGTATACAGGGAAAAGTGTCGGCTAACAAAGGTGAAATTGGTGATGCCACACCGTTCAATGATGCTGTAAATGTACAGAAGATCTCCACGCTTCTGCAAGAGTATGGGTATCAACTTAGAGGAAACGAAGTGATGTACAATGGTCATACCGGCCGCAAGATCAATGCCCAAGTCTTTTTAGGCCCAACTTATTATCAACGTTTAAAGCACATGGTGGATGATAAAATTCACAGCAGAGCCCGGGGACCTGTACAGATTTTAGTCCGGCAACCCATGGAAGGCAGAGCTAGGTAAACTAATTCTATTATTTTTCTTTGTTGCTCGTAATCTGTATATTCATGATATTTTAATTTACAGAGACGGAGGTTTGCGATTCGGTGAAATGGAGCGCGATTGTCAGATTTCTCACGGAGCCGCGCAATTTTTACGAGAACGTTTGTTCGAAGTTTCGGATCCATACCGGATACACATATGCAATTTCTGCGGTTTAATAGCGATAGCAAATTTGAGAAATAATACGTTCGAATGTAAAGGTTGTAAAAACAAAACACAAATCTCCCAAGTTAGATTACCGTACGCGGCGAAGTTACTTTTCCAGGAACTTATGGCTATGAACATTGCGCCTCGATTAATGGTCGCATAAACGTTGATGTATTTATTGTTCTTTTATAAGATTTTGCAAAATAAAGTTGAATAGAAGAGAATTGTATCATGCTCTGTTTTTTTGAAAAAGTTAGGTTCGTGTATTTTTTGAATACATTACGAATCATACCTCGTCGTGTACACATAAAATGTACATACACGACACTAATAATCGAACTATATATCAAATTATTTCAGCAAAGTTTATATCGGCTCTATTATGTGGGCAAAGGAAAAATTTGCAACCTTCCTAAATGCATACCTTATAGATTAAGACTATCATTTGCGTCTTTAATATTGTTATTATTCAAATTCATAGTATTTGTAATCTTGAGAAATTACCTCTTCCATAAGATGCATAGTCAGTCTATCCTATAACTTGTCCGTGGTGTAATTGATGCAGATATCGAAATAGATCTTCCAGCTATAAAATTCGATTTATTTCACACTTACTATTCACGTAAAAATATAATAAATTATCATTCAAATACTAACTACAACCCCATAGTAAGAGAGATTATACCGCCATCTACGGCAAAACGCCCAAGTTTGTCGTGGAATAATTCGTATCTTCCACTCTAGATGGATATCTCGACAAACCCCCCGCAATCAAAAATAATTTTTTTAGAACGATTTGAAATTTTTGAAAAATTTGTCCGCCTTCCTGAATTTTTTTCTCGAAAGCGCGCAGCATTTCGAGGGTATGTCTCTTCGTCAAAAATGATTGTAATTGATTCCCGAAACCAAAAATAATTTTTTCAGACCAACTTGAAATTTTTTAATTTCGCCGAAAAATTTATCCACTTATTGAATTTTTTTCTCGAAACTGGTTAGAAATTCGAGGGTATGTCTGTTAACCAATTGACCCCTACAACTGAAAATAATTTTTTTAGAACGATTTGAAACGTTTTAATTTCGCCGAAAGAAACCTTTTTATTGGTTGCAATTAATTACCCTTTCACCTGCATTTTTGCTGGGAAACGGAATTCTTGTAGATGTCCCGTTGGACCGTCGGAAATAATTGATCGCATTGTGCAATCCTCGCGGTTTGAATTTTTTCTTAGCGAAAGTATATTACGTATGCCGCACGCACGAGGAACATGGTACACAGCTGCTTCGAGCCTCTTACCTGTCGACTGCCAATCAACTCGCTGGTTGGCTAGGTGACAAGAAAGCCGGTTGCTGAAAAAGAAGATTAATCGATGCCCCACAAAGGATCGCCGGTCGACACAATGGGTTCTTTGTGCCGCCGACGTTATTGCAACAGGCATCCACAGAATGTTGGGCGTTCGCGCAACGTCGTCTTAAGAAGCCGTGCGTGATTAATTAGCCACCTCGATAATCGAGCATGTTTTGTGATTTCCAACGGAAGCATGCATTTAAAATAGCCAATCTCATCGACGTTCCCTGTTACTATATCTACTCCTTTCATTTTTATTAGGAATAATTAGGTCGTGTAGAACGAGCAGGAATAAACATTTATACAGAGTGTTCAGCCACCTCTGGAGAAAAATTTTAATGGGAGATTCTGGAGGCCAAAATAAGACGAAAATCAAGAATATCAATTTGTTGATCGAGACTTCGTTAAAAAGTTAGTAACGTTTGAAGTTCCGCCTGTAGAACGGCAATTTGCGAACAGCAGAGAACCACTAGCAGCTATTCACCGCCGTTCTACAGACGTAACTTTAAACGTTAATAACTTTTTAACGAAGTCTCGATCAACAAATTGATATTCTTGATTTTCGTCTTATTTTGGCCTCTAAAATCTACCATTAAAATTTTTCCCACAGCTGGCCGAACATCCTGTATTATATATATTATCAAGCATCGTCGTAACTACTGTCTGATATGAACTATTAACCGTGGCAAATAATAAGAATGAAAATATGAGACTTTGTCAGCATTTTTCAACGAAAGCAATGGCGACGTAGGTAACAGGCGACAAATCTTTTACGAAGGAATTTCGATGCAGACACACGGGACCGATGCCGTACACCCGATGTCGTGAAACGCGTAGATATAGCAAAAGGAAGACAAACGACGCGTCGGTGGAGCTCAAGTAGAAGAGATTAGTCTCGGGATGATGAACGGTCGACGAAAAACTGCGGTTCGTGTTATAGCGATTGCGAGAGGAGGACGAACGAGAGATCGGGAGTCAAAAGGAAAAAGAGGATGGAACACCCCAACGGAGGTATATTCCAGCGGAAAGGAGCATGCAGCGATGTCAGGGAGGTTTCTCGCAATTAGTCAAGTTTCCCCGTCCGCGAACGACTGTGTCCGGCACCGTACCGGTTTATTTATGGCCCCCGGGATCCGTGTAAACACGATAGTAGACGCAGAAGGGGAGACTCCCGGGTCCCGGCGTGCTCATTCCATTCCATTCGATTCATTTCAACTCGATTTGGCTCGACACGACTCAACACGTGTAATTCTTCGTCGTCCTACAACTTAATGTTCTTTCTTTCAGTCGCGTTGTTGTATGTATCAAAATTCGGTTCAAAATTCGTGTTTCTCGTCTAAAATGTTGAACTTGTATCAAAAATTAAATATCTGTTATTTTGTAATATATTATTAATTTATTTATTGTTAATTCTTGATACGAATAACGATATTTTAAATGCATTCGATAGCCTGGAATGTTGAATTCTTAGATTTGTATTATCTGCACATCAAAATGATAAGTATTCGATTCATCTGACCTTGGTTCTTGTTAGAAATTCAAAGAATCCTTCAGCCTCCTCGAATTTGACCATATTTTCATTCCTATCGTTTGCAATAATTATTAATTAACATCGGGCAATAGTTAAAATAATGCTCGATAGTGTGGGCTGTATAAATAATTATTTTTAATACCATTTTGCGTAGAATATTCATTTTTTGGTCGAATGCACGATTAGTTGTTAATTGATTGGTGAACTCGACAAGGACAGTCTTCCCCATCCCTTTAATTCTTCTGCCTGAGGCTAATTGTAAGTTACACTGCCAGTGACGAGCTCTCTTTCTCCTCTGGGCTGGCGGGCATGGCGGAACGTCGTGGGGCTGCGCTCCACTTCTACTGACCACTGGGGAGCTCTGGCAACCAATACTGACCGATACTGACCATTGCTGACCAGTGGTGAGTTATATCAGAATTACACATCTATCATTTCTGTTCCGAAATTTACACGTCTGCTGACCTTGAATGTGTCGTTTCGCCCCGATTTTGTATATTTGGCCCCCTTACAGGTATAAAATTTGTTTCACTGACCATTAGTGACCAATAGTGAGAAAGTTCCGAATCTCCCGTTTATAATATCTTTTTCGACCTTCAAGCATCTGTTGGGTTTGAAGGTGGGGTTTCGTCTCGCTTTTATTTCCCTAGTCTCTTTCCATATTTCACTACTTGTTCCTTCTTTGGTTTGTTCGATACATATTTTATATTGCACGTAGAAATCTCTTTCACTGACCACTATCGACACAGTGGTGAGTGATATGTCTATCTTCCATTTCTCACTTCTTTCTCGACATTCAAATATCTGCTGGGCTTGAATGTATCGTTTTGCCTCGCTTTCATTTGTCTGGTCCCCTTACATATTTCACTTCTGGCTCCTTGTTTGTAAATGTATTTGTTCCCTTATTTTATTCATGTCTCTAATATTGCTTGTTCTATATGTTGTGCTCCTATCCCTGTCTATTTTTACGTCACTGATTTATCTGGGCCCATTTATTTTATTTCAGATCTTCGTGTCTCCCAATTTATTATATTTAATCGTTTAACTAATCACAAATGCAACCTTTTTTAGTTTGTTTTAGCTTACCTGCAGGCCTCCCTCATTGTAGGACATCGTGGGACATCGTGGAACGACAACGCAAGGACATCGAGGGACTTTATTAAATTTATTTTTAAGGTCGTGATACCAACAATTATTAACTTAGCTTCTCGTTCACTCGTTCTTTCGTTTCTTGCTTCGGTCACCGCTGTTTCATCGAACGAAACATGTGATCGGTCGTCCAGTTGGTCCGAAAGATTTAATCGCCTGCCCTTGTTAGCTCGATTGAGGGAAAATGATTCTTCGCTGGAAGGTGTGGAGCTTCCGTTTTCTGCGGAAACGCACACCTTCCAGCGGAAATCGTCCCTGTCTCAGGTACTCTCTCTTTGTCAGACAGCCTAAGTCGGGTCCTTCGGACTTCCGGCGGGTTGCGTTGGAGAAATGGAAACCTTGATTCAGGGTTGCAGCATCCGTTTTCCTATTAAGATCGAGTTAGCAAGGGCAGTAGATTTGATACAAAGATCCGCTACACGGTTCACCATCGCGTCAGGTCGCGTCTCCCACGATTTAGCTTCATCCCTCATTTAAACCATATAATTACTTGGCACAACTAAACTAGAAGATCGAAGGGACTTTGGTTCCTTCTATCTTCTTAGTTTAGTCATTCAGATTGTACAATTGCATAAGGGAGATCGATGGAACTTGGATTCCATCTATCTCCCTTTGGGTCTCCACTCGCAGCAACCTTCACGTGGTGAAACCTGGGTAATATTATTTAGGGTTTAATTAGTAATCGTATCACTCTTAGCTAGGTAATGCAATTATTAATTAAAAACTAAATAATATTAGCAAATTGAGCTAATAAAGCATTTATAGAGCTTTTTCACTAGGTTCGTTTTGATTCTCATTGATTCATAAAAGATTCTAGAGTATTGTCACAGACGAGGTATACGGGTAGATCTTTCATCCAATTTTCATGTATTGGATATCGAATCATGTATTCCTATTTTCATGTCACTCGCAACATTACCAACAGATTTAGAAATGAATTTCAATCCCTTTCATAGTCAACTCACATGTATTTACGTACACACTACAACTGTCTGTCCATCAATACTAATTCAGTGAATAGTTTCTCAACTGACCGCCATACCGACCTGAAAATTCGGAGTTGATTTTAGCGGCCTCTTCTCATGGATGGCGGTCAGTTGAGGAACTATTCACTGAATAGTATTCATGGGCAGCAGCTGTAGTATGTGCGTAAATACATGTGAGTTGACTATAGAACGGATTAAAAAACCCAATTTTCAAACAACCATAACACCTACAATAGTGAATATATTTCAATTAAACTTTTCTCTGAAATAGAGCTCATGGGTACATACAAAAAAGTATTAGACAACTTTTCTGTAGGGCGTCAAACAAAATGACTAAAAATCAAAAACGAATTTTTAAGGAAAATTGACAGGGGGTAGGTGCCTAAATTCAGCGAAATTGAAAAGTTTCAAATTACTCTGGAAAAATTATTTTCGATTGCAGGGATCAATTGCAATCACTTTTGGTGAATAGATATACATCCGAAATCCTACGTACTTTCGAGAAAAAAATTCTTTACCGAAAATATGTGTGGCCAGGAATGTTTGTGTAATTTCATTTTTCATTTTCTGTCTCACTTCCTCTTGTGTTCATTTGTATAACCTGTTGGTAATGTTGCGAGTGACTGGAAAATGGTAATGGGGCTCTAGAGCCCCCAAAAAATGGGTCGAAAAAATACATTGGTGAAAGGTCTACTCGTATAACTCGTCTGTGATATTATTTTATTGAACGAATACCATCGATGGGAATGGACTGCCATAAATTCTTTGATACTTTTATATAGATCGCCCGAACCGAGCTCCATAGTCTCCCCTCCGTTTGACACAATGAAAACGAAGGGAGGAGGAGAGGTTTTTATGGATCTTGAACCGAATTCCGGATGGAAGTTAGGTTGGCGACGAAGGCTATTTTAAATAAAGCGGCGAACGTATGGTAATTGTGTAGACAGCGTTGCACGGTAGCGTTGAACGTATCCTACTGTTCCAATAGCTCTCGATGGGACACTGAATGGTGTACGAAAGCTAAAACCTTGTGATATCCAGTATCGAGTGTGCATCTTTATGCCGTTGGTATCGGTTTATGTTGCCCCGGGTAATCTTTATCTCCCCATACCGGGGAGTTAAACTTTCCGCGTAAGTGCAACGTTGACTGGTAAATAACCGTGTGAAAAGTTGCAACCGAGGAAACAACGTCTTGGGAATTGTTTATTGCTTCCCTAGCCTTTATCGATCCCGGTTATTCGATATACAGCGGGGAAGAAAAGCTAGTGAACACGATATTCTTATTATACCGAAAACTATCTTCTCTTATCGCTGCATAGACGTTTATGTAATATATGTAAGAGAACAATGAAAGAATATGTTCACTGCGTAAAACATTATCTAAATTATTTTCACATTTCTGTCGTTGTCGAAAAGTAAAATATTTTTCTTTTCAATGGTAGTAGGTATTTTTCTCTGATTTTTAAATTAACTAAAACTGATGAAAATAACGGGTATTTAATTTCTGAAAAATTAATTTATTTCCTACCAGACGAAGTAACGATCTTATTGGAATAAGAGGAGACTGGATATTAACTTATTAGTTGTATTTATATGTATATTCACCTGGTTTCTTAAAGAACAGGAAAGAAGGGAAGACGGTATACTGGCGCTGAATTGAATTTTTTTCAATTCATTCCCACTTCCCACAAGGGAGACTCTCAAAGACGATGAGTGTCTGCGCTCGACAGCACCACTTATTCGTAGTAAATTCTCATTATTTTTAAATTGGAAATAAGGAATGCGCGTGGCGGGTATGGCGAAGGCCTTTAACGGTAGAAGAGTCGAGGAAATTAATGTAATTACCGGGTTGGCGTTAATAATAGTCATCGTTCTCGGTACGAAACGAAAAACAAAAAAAATAATCCTTCACACACATTTAATACTAAATATATAGTAATATCTTCGCGTTGCAGGAATCAAAATTCCGAAAAATATATTTTGATCTCGGTTTGCCTTTGTCGGTAGCAAAATAAAATGAGAAAGATTAAAAAATTTGTTTGTTCACTTAAAATGTTTTAGATTAAAACACATCTCCAACATTATAATTTACAACGGTGTGGCTACTGTAAAATAATAATGTATGACAAAATAGGTACCACTCGAAGTCGAAGATTCTATTTCCTATAAATATTTTCTCGGTTATTGATAAATAAATTGAAACCGTATGAAAACAGTTTATGAAGAATTCTCGAGAATATTCTATAAATTGTTTATTTTGCACCGTTTGAAAGCAAACCTTTACAAACACATTTTCGATCAGATAAGTTTTAAAAAGGGGTAAAACGAAGATTCTGATAATTTTCAACATTAAATTGTGAAAATACGATATTTTTGCTTCAAACTCATTTATTAATCGGAGCCAATATACAGTCTGTCCTCGAGGCAGTACTTTTACAATAACATAGTATTATATCTCTTGAAAAATAAGAACTGTACTAGATTAGTAAAGGTATAAATCGAGAGTATTAGATATTTCGCTGTATCTAAGGACAAAATTTCATTTACAATATTAGATTTACATATTCAGGCCATTGCGTCGAAATAGGTTAGACACAATAAACAATGAACATTTCATACAAAGGACATAGCAAGTGGGAGAGGTACCTATCGTTCGCTCGAACATACAGGAAGCAATATATTTGTTATAGAACGATGCTATACGTTCACGCGAAAATAAAGCTCTTCGAATGTCTATAAAATTAGATTATTTTTAAAAACAATTATAGAAACTCTCGAAGTAACATTTCTTTACCGAAACAAGTATGAATCGTTTTGTTACCGCGTTAACGACTTGCATATTTGTTAATCGAAAACATTTAGCCTCGCGGAAAATCCTACATTGTGTGTGAAAATAATTTAACAGGAACTACAAGTTTTCGAAACGAAACGAAACCCGGACCATAGGTTAAATCGATATTCCGATTAATACTTATCTTTCTTCGTTTGTTATATTATTCCTTTTTTCTTTATTATAATAAATTATTTTCAAACACATCTTAATCTGTTATTTATTTATTTTTTTGTTTCGATAAATAATTCAGAATTACCTAAACAGTAGTCTTTATACAAGTGTTAGAGTATGTTATATTATCAAACACTTAGATAGTAACGTATTTTTTCTGTTCTTTGTCTGCAACTATCGTACATTTACTATTCTATTGTTAGAACAATAAACAACTTTTCATTCTCACAAAATACCCGAGACAAACATTTTTTTTTTATTTCTGTTATGTATTGGCTCCTTCCTTTTGCTTATTAACACGCTTCTATGTTTATTTTAATATAACCATCGCTTAGTATTTTTTGCATTTTTTTTTATCTTGTTAGAAAACCCCGCATATAAAGTTCCTGGGTTTTTGAAGACTACTGAGTAAGACGACAAAAGTCATCGCCAAAAGAAAGGTGTTGCTTAAGTAAAACGAATAACAAAAAGTGTAGAATCACTTCTCGGTACTTTTTTTTTTTTGTGCAATTATATCGTAATTTCGAAATTGAAATAATTTCTCGAGCATGTCTACTTTGTTATTCGTAAATAACTGGTGTTAAATAATTGATAGTAAATATATATATATATTTATAAATAAATTAGAGATATATGTATATATATGTATATATATCTATGTATATATATGTATATATATAGAGATATATGTATATATATTTCGTGACAAAAAGTTATAGTGGCGGTTAAATATTTACGAACGAAAGTCTACGTGTGTATATTGTCCGAGGATAATTATACTCAGAAGTCGAAGAAAATTGCAATCCTCAGCGGGGCACGTTATAATATAGTTTTTTTTTTTACGTAGGTAATTAGTACCATAAATATCAACTATACAGTTATTGCTATGGAAGCAGTACGATAATTCAGGGTCTCAATAAATTCAAGTGAACTTATTAGATATATTGTCTTTACGTAATCTAAATCTACGTATAATTTTTAAAATTATAGTAGTTCCTCTTTATTCTCGTCGATACATATCGTAAATTCAATTGAATTCATCGGCGACGCTGAAATAGCGTAACTTACAACACGTCATTATACAAACTGCTCTGTATTTTTTTTTGTTATGTATTATATTTCCTACTGCACTTATTATCCTATATACATAGCATACCTAGCGACAACTACAATTAATAACAACTGATATATCGTTTATCAACGATGCAACGGTACGGTAGGATTATACGTCGGAATATAAGCCCGATGGTCCAGCATCGCGGATAAATTATATATTTCACTGCTTTTAACGTTTATCCAATGTGCTATTATCCCGATCGATCAATCATGTTTATTATTACACGATCGATCGACCAATACGTTATTAATTATGCCAATACATTCGCAATAACGTCGCTACGTCTTCAACTTTGCTCTCTAAATTTGGGTTTTTCTGTCGTTCGAACAATGTTTAATTATTAGATTCTTCTCTCTGTGTGTGTGGGGTAACTAAATACAAATGGAGACAAAGTGTCATTCTGCGTCAACTGTTTTACTGTTACAGGACATCCGAATGGATTAATGAGAGCTGTAGAATTAGAATGCGAATTGTTACATAATTATATGTATTGACTCGCACGTAGTAGAATCATTTCTCTTATTCTTCCCTAAATACTTACTCTCTTAAACCTTAAATAGTTATATCCACTAATAAATTATTTAATTTTAATCGCAGCCATCCCACTTTCCTTCTGTTTTATCTGCTCAGTTGGTCTATACGCGTACGTATAATACCATTTATTTACTCGGTCTATATAATATGTATGTATATAGATTATTACATATTCTGAGAGATCGCGCATTTATACTTAACTTTACTTTATGTTTATACGTGTATATATGACTTTTCCCTATATTCTTCGCTGAATGATGTGCGTATGTATTATCTGCTTGTACAAGTATCGCATGAATATGTTTCCCATTATCTCGTTTTACCCCTTCTCCCTTCTCTCCTCGCCCATTTTCTCTTTTTTTTTCCTTTACTAACACATACACACATTTCACTTCTTTATTCTGTGTAATATGTTTCCGGATGTGTGCGTACAAAGTCCACAAAGTTATGTTCGAATTTTTTTTCGGGTCTCCGTCCCCGTTTGCTTTTAGTACGACAGAACTCATACATGACATGTGAACGCTAAATTACCATATAATCGTATGCAGTTCCAAATTTGGATAGAAATCGAGCCATATTCTCATAGCTGATACCATTTCTTGTCTTTGTACTTGAGCATCAATCCGTGAGCAGACTGAGAGAAACCTTCCGCCTCTGTCATCATTCGAGCTGTTCGGTCCTCGAGCTGCGAGAGCTTCTCCCCGCGCTCCATCACCATCTGATGGGCTAAGCTCACCTCTCCCGTGGCGGATGTAACGCGTTCACGAAGAGCTTCCGTGCCAGCGTTTGGTCCTGGTATATGTTTCGCGACCGTGCGAGAAGCTCGCCCACTAGACTCACCAACTAAAAGTAACCGCAAATGATATTGATAAAATTAATTGGAAGAGAATCGGGAGGCAAATACAAACACAGCAAACGAGTAGATCGTTTTCTTCTCATTTTTGTCAGCTTAGCCTTCGTAGTTTCATTATATGTCTTGTTTAATTTGAAATGAATAAAAAATGTCTTCATTGTATCTCCAAGTGACTTGTGTAAACAATTGTGACTGGATGTAAAATCCAGTACTCGAGTCCCTTAAATATCTTCGTGGCATTTGATGGTGCGGGAAAATGTTACAGAAGGAAACTGGGTTCATTGGAGTTAATGTTATGATGATTATTCTCGTTGTAGAATAACTGTTACAATATGTAAACTTCGATGCTTTCTTCGTTGATGATTGTAGTCGCTTGTTCGATAATGTACGATTCGTAACATGAATATTAAACAATGTCAAAGTATAGTAAATATACTATACAATTGTACGGTTAAAGTTAGAATTAATCAAGCTTATAGTTTTCTTGCAAAAGATTCTTCAAAGGGAGCGTTTTTACTTATCTGCTTGAGAACGATACCCCCATTGAACGCTTCACGAACGAGTGTATATAATATTAATGAGAAAAGAATTTTTTTTAAACTTACATAGTTCTTCTCTGTCCAAACTTCGCGATCCTCCGCCGAAGAGGCCCTTGAAGAAGCTTTCCTTGGGTGGTTCGGGCATGTCGTGACCAATGAATAAGTCTCCCATCATTTCGGTTAATTCCCCACTGAAAATAAAAATATGTAAGTTAATTTTTACTGTAAAATATTATTCGTTATCGCGGTATTAAAATACATTTGCGAGTTTTACGATGAAAGTAAATATCTAAATTAAATTGGATGTTTTTAATTTTGTGGTTGCTTTACAAAAATTGTGTCAGAAATGTGGAATCGTACCAAAATTGGCTGGATATGGAAAACTTTTGAATCTCAGTGGGCGACGACAGGTACAGACCGTGGCCCCTATTGCTGAAGCCGAGTGTTCTTGCAATTCTGTAAAAAATATCAGGAAACGTTGTTGCAATATTCGTCTGCCTCGCAATATCGATTATGTAAACATATCGGGACGTAATATCGAAACGTAAAGTATGTACGCTTATGTATACGGTTATTAAACTTTATTATAATAATAAAAATCTAAGCAAATGCTTGAGTGACGTCTAAACATGTACCGTGAAGTAAAAAAGGAGCGTAGGAACGATAGTATGCATCAAAAACAAATTAAATATAGAGAGCACGCAAGGCATTGCATATTATTATATATAAGATACATAGTATGAGAGGTGTATTTTATAGACCACTTACTGATCGGTATCGCCATTAACAAAGAGTTGATGACCCCATATGGACAACATGGGGTCTACAATGCCATGTTTTGTAGTCTGAAAACTGTTAGAAATTACAGAGACAGGAGAAAAGTGAGCGTTAAGCGTACACGAGTTAAAAGAGATTGCGTTAGTTTGCATAATTATCATTAACCCACAGAACAACCACTTTATTTTTTATTTTTAAGGGGGTATACCTGTCTGGACCGCAATTATTATTCTCTTAGAAATGTTTGTCAAAAGAGGATATTTTTCCATTCAGTTTGAATCCATACTTTTAGCTAAATGTATAAAAATCAAGTGAAATTCCGTACGACTAGCCTGGTGCGTCCGACCATAAACCGATATTTCTAGTTGCGTCGAACTTCAAGTTCAAGTTCACAATTTTTCTATGGTAGGTATTTCATTTCATTTTGCTTTGAATTCATACTTTTGGCTCTACGTTTCAATAGTATTCACAATTTTTTCGTATAAAAATATTAAAAATTATGGGAGTTACAACGAATTTACTGAAGACTTGAACATGCCCTTACTGGATTCATTGTAATTCCTGTAATTTTTAATATTTTAGCATGAAAAAAATTGTGGATACTCTGGAAACATACAACTAGAAGTACGGACTCAAACTGAATGGAAAAATACTCTCTTTTAAGAAATATTTCAAAAAAAAAAATAAAAACGTGGTTCAGACGAGGATATCCAAAATCAGTGTTAGGCACTTAAAATTGGTTACCTGAATAATTTACTTCTGACGATAGATAAAAAATTCTGAATATGTTGCACTATTCCCATAGAACCATTTTAACACAAACATACAAAGAACTTTGTGCAAAAGAGAATATTTATTCTCGTGACTGATTGTCAACGATTTCGACCTTCGAACAGATTATTGAATGCATCCTACACTTCTATATTAGAAGATATATAAAATTTATAAAAGCAAAATTAACCTTTTACACTTCCCTTTACAAGAAAAACTACTATTAGATTATGTTACCCTTGAAATTAAACAAGATTTGTCCGTAGAATTTTTTGTCTATTGCCAAGTATACATAAATTATTCGAGTAGCCCGCCCGAAGTACCCCACCCTGTATAAAAATGTTAGTAAATCTACCGTTGTGTAACAGTTTGTTTAGTCACAGCGTGAAATATTAGTATTTTGGTTAGCAACATTGTTAACCGAATACTTAAATAGGAAACACGAAATTTTCAGAATACCCATAATCTGAATCCTACTTGTAATTTACGTATAACAATAAAAGCAATATAAAAATATTAAGAAGTTAAAAAATCACACGATATTTATTATTAAATAATGCGGAGTTCAAGAGTTGTGACATAAAGCAGTGTCTATTGTCGAGTTAAACATTTAAAACTAACACATATGAAGATAATAATTTCTCGTCTCATATATGTATAAATAAACAACAAGTTTCTTTTCTTGTACGAAGACTGTAATTAATAATAAGTTGGTGAAATCAAACGTTTGTGACAACACTTAAGGAACACGAAAACTTCCAATAAGGAGTTATTAATCGTATTGTTATTAACAATAAGTAGTGAAAAATTAAAACTAAATTCAACTGTCTCGGAATTAATTCCAGGAATAGTGTATGAGGTCCTATTTGTATATTGTGAAATTCTACAAAATCATATGCTGCCATTTACTAATGAAAAAATGACTTAAAACATTGCAGTACAAAATGTTAGTATGATCCAGCGGTCAAGTAAATCCAAAGTCTAAAAAACGTAGGTACAGGACACAGAATACTCCCTTAATCTCAAAGTTGAGAACATTTATTCGAAAGAATTCCAATTTGTTTTTAGTATTAGATTTCAGCTTTTATCAACGATCTGCAAGTTCGAAATTTGGCAATGTTCAATTTCCAAATTGTTCTCCGTGTAGTTGGCAGGGCCAGCGCTAAGCTTTATGCTTAGAAAGAAGCGAAATATGGAGAAGAAATCTAAATATTATAGATCTTCGGAGACATTTCTCCGAATATGTAAATTTACAGCTTTAATGAAACAAATTTAAGCGATAGAAAATTCGAAACACAGAGAAAATCTTATGACACTTTGCTTTAATCAGTTAAAAATACAAAATTCTCTATGTTAGAGGTAAACAAACGATTCGAGAAAGATGCATAAAGAAACTAATCAGATTGAGAGAATGTCATAAGTTTTCTCGAAAATCAATCAGTCACGTGTTAGAACAGCAGATTCAATAAGTGACATGTCAGAACAGCAGAAACTTTCGTGCAAAAGGTACAAACATCCTCTAGAGAATAGTGATTTTTAAATTTATCCTAACGTTGCATGAGATCTAAACGAACGATGCGCTGTATTTCATGTTACCATACGAAAACTATAGATTCTAAGTTTACAGACTAGACAAACTTTACAATCCTGTACTAGGAAATTAAAACTCAGACGTTGTTTAACGTTCTTCTATTATATATAAATTTCCAACCGTTCTTTTTCTCCTGTAAATCAATTAACTACTTACTACGTATCTTCCTAGAAATTAACACTCACCAGATTCACCACCTTAAACAGTCAACCCACTAATTTGCAGCTTTCATTATTCGATAGAAATCACATTTGTGCAATAATTTTTGCTTTCAAGCGTTAATTTGTTACATTGGAATCTCCCCCAGCCCTCATACTATACCAACTGAGGAAGAAACAGATCATCGTACCACCAGAATCGCACTAAACTCAAGAACTCATGGAACTTGCGAAGAAATACTCAAATAAGAACTCAAACTCAGTCGATTAAATATATTCGCGAACCTGAATCATTACTGTTACCGGAAAACGACTGATGCCCTATAAAGATACTTATAGTGTTTGAAACTACAACATTCATAATAACAAAACGTTTGTTTGTCGCTTGAAAAATAAAACTTTATTTACTATATCAGCGTATCATAACACGTGCTAATGTACATATAAAAAAACGAGCACAACCATCATGGTAGAATAAAACTGTGCATTTAGTGCAAACAGTATGAGGCATGAGAAAATAGCTACACAATTATACATGTATCAAAGACCGAATAAGCCATGATTTGTAAAAAATTTCTAATTACTTTACTTCACTTATAAATGTGGAAACTAATAGCATCGAATGGTCTATTTGCAGAAAAATAATTATTAACTCGTATTTCTTTTATAGTAGACACAGTACTGATAATATAAAGATAACTGTTTAAAGTATTTCTAAAACTTTCTTGTAAATAATGGAAACAACGGTTGCTTGTATTTAATATCGTTAGAAGATTTAATTTCAAAAGACATTATTAAGCTTCTGAGTATAGTGAATATAAAAAATTTTATTTCCATATTATAGTTCGAAGGTAGTCGATCGAAAGAGTTAGTGGAGAAAGTAACTATGTCAGTAATACAATGAATATTACGCTACTTTCAGCAATGTGTAAAATGTTGCAGTATTGTAATAGCATATGGTGCATTATTATACCGTGTGCAAGTATAATTATTATTTCGCATCAATAACTGCTATGAAGCTAAACCTAACGAAATACTTATTCTTCTTACCTCAAATCTATAAGAGGCAGAAAATCGACGTCTATTAATGGCCTCAGACTTGGCAAACTGTACGCAGCTACGTGCCCATTTGAAACGTAGCAAACCAGACAAACATTATCTGAAAAACAAAATTTATTTATATAAATGTAACAATACACATTACATTTTACGATACGAATCGTCTGAATAGTTTAGAAAACATGACCTGAGAACAACTGTTTTACCGTGAATGTGATATTATGAATATGAAAACTAAAAAATTGTCTCGAAAGCATTATCCATCTTTTAACATTTCAATCGATAATTAATTAACTTCTACTAAAATACAAGAGATACAATTATGTGGTACATAGAGTAAATAAACCATATAACGTACCTTTTATAGACGTAATTTCGGCTTTGATAACGATATGAGTTTCAGCCAGTTGTTGTCTATATAAACAATTCTGTGATGGCAACGCTAAGACCCTCGCCTGTTTTTCAGATGTTAATACAATAAATTGACGATCTTCGAAGCCCTCTCCAGTGGTCGCTTGTGTGGTCATCGACGGAGACATCCGACTATTTGTACATTTACCTTGGCTCTCTTTAACGAGAAGAACGTTATATTATGATTTCATTTTATCAACCAAATTTCAACCAACACGAAAAATTATAATTTTATTGATGAGATAACTATCGAAACATACTATTGCGTTCTTTGCCGTCCACAGACTCGTCTTTCCAAGATTCGTAAGAGTATGGAATGAGGGCACCGTTACAATCTAAGAAGGACATCGATAGAATGCAACCCTTTAATTTAAAAGTAGATCCATCTGAAATTAAAACACGTATCGCGTTACACGAATTACCCATCAACATTTTATTCTCTATACATTTTGTTAAATGAGGCAATAACACTTACTGCATGTAGAAACAACAACCGGATGAGCATGTCGTTCTCCACGAGCGGGCGTATTAAATATCATCGTTTGTATAGATCCTAAAGATGTACCAATCCACAGCGTAGGTACGGGAGTGGTATCTTGAGAAATTGAAAAAAGAAAATACACTTTTGGTGACGCAAACTTTTCCCAAAAAGTCAACATTTCCAACACTAGATTTACGAGCACTCGTCGTACAATTAAAATCCGTTATAGTGTACTTTAATCATTTGCACCACAACTCGATTCGACAGCATTTATAAATTTTTTTTTTGTTGGGAAGGATAATTTTAATTCCTAAAAATTTCATTCAAATAGCCAGTCTATTAAAATGAATTCTTAGAATGCAAAGTATTAAATTGCTAAAAAATAATATTTATGCTAAGCTGACGAATTCTGTAAATCTAGTGTCAAGGGGTACTTTACTGAAGAACTATTTAAAGTTGTTTTACCATTTTTACGAACAAAAGAAATATAGAAGAAACAAAGAGTTTACAAGAAAAGATTTGAAGCAAAGACTCGATTTTTGGAAAAGTTTACAGTAAAATGAACCCGTTTAGCGGGAAAAATCGGCGAGTAAGAAGTATCGGAAGAAGTATACCAGTTTTTTTCGTGTAGGAATCTGCGAACGTAAGGCAGCTGATGGTTTCCGTAGTGATGTTCTCGAGCGACGACATGCTCGAGCTCCTCGACCGTTGAAACGAACTGTCGTACTTGTCTACGCGACCAGCAATCCCAACAATAAATGGAAAATTAAATACTGTATGGGCAATAGCTTTCTATAATTACGACGAGCATGCAACGTTTACCACATTACACATCTCCGACACGTAGCATTCTTATTACAAATTAACGAGGAATCGCTTGGAGAGTCGGTCAGAGTGTGAATGAAAAAGTTAAACAGTGTTCCAAGTAATGGTAGCAATGTCAAGAACAACAATAATAACAACAACGATAACAACAACAACAACAATAATAATAATAACAGTGACAGCAAAAACAACAACTATCACGACTAGTATATCTCTCTTGACAGGATAGTTTCACAGAATAACATCTTTCACTCATCTATTCAACATTCATCAAGTCGATCAGATGTATCTATTCTGTCATAATATCGGTTAGAACGCCACATAAATAAACAAAAAATGTTGTAATTGAATCGAAGAAGTCAGTCAATCTTAAGCAAGTATATCACAGACACTATGCCCCAAACTTATTCGGTTACATTGCTAGAAGCAAAAATTAATTACAGCACCCATACATCGCCGGTTAGGTTGATACTTATTTTTTCTCCAAAAATCACGTAGGGATGGTCGATATTAACTGAAGTTTGGAATATTTGCTACGAGCATTATACGTATATTAAAATTTAAAATCTACTGCAAATTCGACTCGATGATTGTAATTAACATTTTCACAGCCAGGTTATGCGAAAACAATTGACAAAATTTTATGGATTCAATTCTTAACAATAATAGTAAATGAAAATTCATTAACGGAAATCAATTTTTAAATATTAAACTGAATTTTAAATCAAAGTATCTTTCCATGAAGGAAACATTCTTTGTCACAACGTATTTCTGTATAAAATAAATAAGTTTAAGTTGAACGATTGAACAAATAAATAAGTATTAAAAATTAATTTCAAGGCTCGATATGATTTTTCAAGAATATAGCGTGGCAGTGAACGTGTTAAAATTTCTAAAATAGACTCCTGCATCTCGTTTATGCTTATAAAGTAACATTTCTTTTCGTAACCCAGTATTCGATTATAAAATTATAGAAGCTACTATACATATAATGCTATATATTTTTTTTCTGGATAACAATAATAGATGTAAGTTCTAATTATTTGTATAATTATTGCACGTTCGACACATTCCACACTCTCAAAGACACTTCAAAGCTCGAAAATAAAGGACGACCCGATTTTCAAAAATAAAATATACACAAAAAGTTCACACTTTATACGGAGAAACAAAACTTCAGTAGCAATAATGCAATTATGCATTTTTCACTAAAAAGGCATTCTTTTAACATCCTTAAGAAGTCTCTAATAGTTTTCGTACGTATTCTGTATACATACATACACATACGCATGTGCGCGCGTGCGCACACATACAAGATTTCAATAAAAATCCAAGCATATTTACTTAGGATCGATTTTTCACCCCAAAATGACGACCAATTTCGCGTTAAAGATATTTCCATCGTTTTCAAAATTCTATTATTCGACGATTCGTGAGAAAAAATGTTTCTACGAGGCAAATGCATAAACTTATTTTCCTAATTATGAATTATGCGACGATACAAGGTGTTCAACAATAAAGAGTAACTCTAAATGCAAAAATAAACCAAAATTATTCACGTAGAATTTAATTTTAAGATTACAAAAACACTACTCGCCATAAACAAATTTTGTTCAAAATTTGATCAAATCTCGAGACGAGAATATTAAAGCTAAATACAGGAATTTAGACCCAATTAAATAAATCTATAATACACACATACAGATGCTCGATTCAACGAATATTGTTTGTAAAAAGTATTAAAAAGTCTGCTCGAAACGTAGTTTCGTTTCGCCTCTTGTCAAACACCTTGTAAAAAATTACTAACTATTTGCAATGTAAACTTTTTAATAAAGTTTAGTGCTACAGAATCGATCCGTAAGCAATATGGCTGGCGTTTATTAACACCCTGCGTGTTCGATATTCCATAGATCGTACATCGAACCAAAAAGTCGGTTTAAACGTATCGTTAGGCCACATCTATTAGAGAAAATAAAGTCAATTGAAAAGTAAGATAGAGAGAAAGAAAGAAAGAAACAGAGAGAGAGAGAGAGAAGAGAGAAAGAGGAAAATCGGTTAGAACGCGGAAGAAAGTATTCTTCATGAAATGTGCAAAGTGAAAACTAGAAATTATGCAAGTTAGATGATGTGCCATTGTGTGCTCTCGAAGAAAGTGGTTTTTGATCAAGAGCGAGTGAACAGATCATTAAGAAACAAAGATGCGATGCAGAGAAGTAAAGTCTGCCGGAAGGTATATATCCACACTCAGCAAGGACCAGACAGTATCTTTTTTAATCGGACACAGCAAAAAAAGTATACGATAACGAAGACCAATCTTGAAAACAGCGACTTTCGAGATTTGCAATATTTCATCTAATTTTGCATATCAACATACGTTAAAAGATCTTTCGATATTTCAAACAGAAGTATGGATAAATACGAGATTGAAAGTAGAAACAAAAGCAAAGATGCAGTACTCCTACCGTAGAATTTCTTTTCGTTTATCTATTTCAATAAATATCTAGCGGTTTCGTTCTTCGACAGACAGATATGACAAATTATAACAGCGCAGACAATAACTTGAGATGGACACGTTCCTTATGAATCTTTAATCAGCAACGACGTTCATTTCGTTAATAAATGTTCATCGCAGAATGGTTACGATATCAAGCTATGTTACTTTTCTAGAGCCACGAACCATTCACGAAATTTTTCTAAAATGCATTTCGTAAATTATTCGGTAAACAAAATTCTCTGGTCAAGTCACGCTCGATGTTTTTCTCGTACGTGGTAACAAACGCCGTTCAAGAGATTTTTGGTTTCGTATGGCAGCGAGACCAGTCGCAGAAATAGTCGTTCTATCGAGAATGAAATCAAACTGACAACAAAACGGAGAAAAAAGCACTTGGAGAAGAATAGATTTGTCTCATTCATGTAACATAGAAACAAAATCGATGGTCTACGTAATTTTTATAGTAATTGTATAAAAATGATAATTCGTTTAGATACTACCAAAGCTGTTATACTGTCTGGTGTTGAAGAGAATATTCTGGTAGTTCGAAGAAGGTTGTGGAACGATCGACGGATTGCTTCGTATCTCGGTGTTACGCTGATTAGCGAATAGCGAGGTCGCCGGAAAGTTGTTCAACGACAAGGAATCCATCTCATAATGGTTGGTAGTAGTGCTCAGACACTTCTGGAGCTTTCTTATGCCCTGGGCACGCGATTGACGTGGCTCTACAGTTACGGATTTGCGAGGATTCGCATTACAGCCATTGCTATCAACATCGGCGCTATTCACGGTATTGCGAATACCCAATCGAGGGGTGCAGACATCACTAGCATTTTCACAATTGCAACCATCATCACCAGTGGAACCACAGGAGCTACAGCTATTATTATCGGCGTTGTCACCCTTTTCACTACCACCAACGATCACCGTACTTCTTCGCGTTACCGGCAACATGCACATCCCGTTCATCTACAAATGAGCGACAGATCAAATGTGGAGAAAGTAATTTTTAGTTCTACTCAAGTTCTATCGTGTAACCAATATCTGGTTACGATTATTCTTATTTCGCTTCGTTCTAAAATCTTAATGCATCGTTATTCCTCGATGCTTCGATCATATCATAATTCCATTAGATTTGTTTATTATTCGATCATTTAATTTTACTAGGATTTCTTCCCTACGAATTTTTGGTATTCTCTTGATTATTTAATCTTTGCTAGAATTCGTTCTCTGTGAATTATAAATTGGTGTTACAGCTTTTTCCAGCCGAGTGGGACAACCTGTACACAGGAGTAAAATCGAGGGGATTCTACGTGCAAAAATAAGTCGAAAAAAAGGGAATAACATTTTTTCGTTCGGGGCTTCCTTTTCGAGATAATCAAATTTAAAAATATATCTGAAACAAATGAAATGTAATATAATTTGGCAGACGCGTCCGATCAGAATCCGATATCTTCTACTTGCGTGGAAGTCAAAGTTGTATACAGGGTATATCTGGACTGGTGATGTAAATGTGGAGGATGGGGTTTAATTCTATGTACAAAAGTAAGTTGAAAATAGGGAATAACATTTTTTCGTCCGAGGCTTCCCTTTCGAGATAATTGAAAATATATTTAAAAAACAAGTGAAATTCCGTACGATTAGGCTGACGCGACCGACCATAAACCGATATTTCTACTTGCATCAAAGACCAAGTCCGCAATTTTTCAATGTATATTTTTCATTCGGTTTGAATTCATACTTTTGGCTCTATGTTTCAAAAGTATTCACAATTTCTTTCGTATAAAAATATTAAAAATTATGAGAGTTTCAATGAATCCCATCAATGCCTTAAAAAAAGAAGCGTATAGACAATTGCAGTGATATCACAAGTTCTAGTTGACCGATTGGCACGAAATTTACAGGAAATCTTCAACACGCGTGTCTTTATAGTTCGGAATTAAGATTTAAAAAATCTGATGTTTTTTACTATTTTTTTAATTCGCTAAATGTAAAAAGAAATATACGAAGTCGATTATTTGACTTAAAGTGCTATCAAACTTTTAATTTTCAACATTTTTACACGATTCACTGGATTCATTATAACTTCCAAAGCTTTTAATATTTTTATATGAACTAAATTGTGAATACTCTTTAAAGATAGAACTAAACCAATTGATTCAAATTGAATGTGAAAAATACCTTCCTTTCATAAAAATTTCTAAAAAAACGTTAAACAATTGCAGTCTAGGCGGGAATACTCCCTTATTCTAGAATATGAAACTGTGTGTAGTTAAGCATTTTTATGTATATATGTATATTAATATGAATCTGTGACACTGGAACAATTTGTACCATATGGGTGATTCATAGTGATGGTAATAATCCAGACTTTTAATAAGAAGTAACATAGTACATCAACGACTTATGTCATCGATAGTATCT